GTTTGGTCTGAGGCCGGATTTTAACTCAGGTCCTCCTGACTTCAGGGCTGGTGCTCTATCTACTGTGCCACCTAGCTGCCCCTGCAGTTTGGTTTTAATCCTTGGTAGCACTTTCCAGAGATTTTGATCTCACATTGTATGTTTGGGGTGTTGTTTTTGTTCTCTCCATAGATTCCTGAATAGAATTCTGTAACAGATATTCATGATTGATTATACTGATCTGCATTTCAGATCTCCATAATAGAGTTGTAATTGTAATTTTTATATGTAACGTATAGTATGGTTTATCATCAAACAGACAGTGCACATACTTCTAATCCATAAATGATAAAGGAACCTATTTGGCTGAGTCTAAGTAATTGGTATTTCTACAGAAGATTTTTTTTTTAAAGGTTTTTCCCCTCAAAGAAAGAGTTGCTGACTTTGTAGTATGAATAGAGGTATTAAATAAGCAGAGAGATGAGGCTTTTCCTTTCAGGGAGGTACTTTTGCATGCCTAACTTCTTATAGGAGATTGTCAGTTTTTTTGAGTAAGCTATCAGTCTGGGATAATGCTTCTCTTGTCCATTGTTCAAGCTTGCTGCAGCCCAGAGCCAGAATTTCCATGGGGTGTGAATAATACCACTGCTGAGAATGAAAGTTCTGTATCCATTTAATGTGAGGTCAAGGAAAAGGTATTGTGGTCTCTAGACCTTGATTTAGTCTTGTGGAATTTCTTTAAGTGATAACACTTTGCATCGTATTTCAAGATTTCCAAATCTTCTTTAGGTCCAATGCATGTCTCACCAGCTTTTCTTTTAATTGGATAGGGGTACAGAATCTAGGGAAACCCATTTGATTGTCTATGGACCTTAGAGTTTAAGTGTGGCATAGAACAGTGTGGGCAGCTAGGTGGCTCAGTGGATAGAGTACCTGGCCTGGAGTCAGGAAGACTCGTCTTCTTGAGTTAAAATCTAGGCTTAGACACTTACTACTTATGTGACCCTAGGCAAGTCACTTAACTCTGTTTGCCTCAGTTTCCTCATCTGTAAAATGAGCTGGAGAAGGAAATGGCAAACCACCCCAGTATCTCTGCCAAGAAAACTCGAAATGGGGTCAGACACAACTGAAATGACTGAACAACAACATAGAATGGTGTCTTGTTCATAGTAGTTGCTTTAAAAATGCTTATTGATTGATTGATAGCAAAAAGAACACTGGTCTTGAAATCGGAAGATCTAAGCTCAAAAGTCCCAATTATGCCATTTTCTTGATATTTATCCTTGGATAGGTAACATAAGCTTTTTACAGCTTTAGACCTTCATTGGTAAAATGAAAGCAATGACATATCTCTTACACTTTTTAGTTATATGATCCTGGGCAATATAAGATCATAATACCAGGTCCAGAAGGAATTTAAGTGGTCATCTCTTCCAACCCCCTCATTTTAAAATTGATGAATTCAGGCCCTGAGAGGTTAATTGACCTGCCTCAGGTCACACAGTTAGTAAGTAGCAAAGCTGAGATTCATATTCAGATCAGATGACTCAAACTTCAGTGTTCTTTCCACTGTATAATGCTTCATCTCTCAGACTCAGTTTCTTAATAAAAAGATTTAAAAAAAACTACCCATGGTACTTAATTCATAGGATTTTAGTGAGGAACAAATGAGATAATCTCAACAGCTTTGAAAATCTGAAATCATCATATAAATGTCACTTAACAGTGATGATGATGAAGATATTATGGTTGTATTATCTACTTCATGGAGTAATTAGAAAAACACTTTGTAAATTATAAAGTATTAAGCAGCTAGGTCCTGATTTGTGCAAATAATGAATCTTGTGACATGGTCACATGTATTCAAATTCATACAATTTGAAGTAATAATTATGTAAAATACAGTAATTGATTCCAGCCCAATGGAAATATACAGTGTGAATTTGAATAATGAGACCACTTCTTAAGATTCATTATTTGTATTAATCAGGGTATAGCTCTGTAAGTAATTTGAGCTTAGTGTAAAATAAAGAAAATTTTGTCCAGATAGCTCAGTCATTAGAACATCATCAGCCTTAATCTTAGGCTTTAGGGTTTAGTCCTGTTTGGGAAAATATGGTCTTGACAGAGGCAGCATGGTAGTGTAGAGCACTGGACTTGGAGTCAGGGAGTCCAGGTTCAAATCATGCCCCAGACATTTACCAGCTGTATGACTATGAAGAAATCACCTGACATCTCTGCCTCAGCTTCTTTATCAATAAAATGAAGGTGGGCTTGGACTCAATAGCTTCTAAAGTTTTCATAGAAACACTGCCAACACAAGTCATAGCTTTCATTTCTGTTAGTATTTTGACATTTCAGAGAGAAAGATAGTAAGTGTTTTCTGCCTTGATGGCAGAAAAACTTCCTGACAGAGCCATTCAAAAGTAGAACGGGTCATCTCAGGAGATCATAGGCTTCCTTCACTCACTGAACTTCTCATTGGAGATCTTGAGGCAGAGATATTATGGTGCATCTGTCCTAGTTCAGCTTCAGTCCTACTGTCATTTATCCATAAGTCCATTTCTTGCCCATTTTCCTAGGTAGATAGGTGTTTTTTTTTTCATGACATTGTTTTTCCACAGCATAACATGCTAAGTCATCAAGGAGGTAGGATCAAAACTGAGAATTTAGGGTTAAAAATTTTTTCAGGAAGAAACTAACAAACACTTATCCAGTTCTTGTTTTCAAGACTAGGGAATGATGATCATTGATGGTGTAAATCAGGATCTATTATCTATAGCTGTCTTTAGCTACACACAAACACGCGTGCATGCGTGTGTGCGCATACACACACACACACACATACACACACACATTTCACTGCCTGGAATAATAATAATAATAAAAATAACTAAATTACTACTTCAAAAAATCTATTGTTTTGTTGTGAGAGGTACTCCATTCACTAATGTAATTCATAACTCCTCCTTTACTTTGTGGTCTGTCCTCATGAGTTTCTGAACCTGAAAAAGGCCTAATTCATCACTTGTTTGCCACCTTTTTTGATAATGACATTCACAGTTCATCCCTGGGCCTATTTTCAAAGCTTTTTCAGTTTGTGAGGACCTGCCAGTATGTGGACTGTCCTGGCACCATCTTTGAAAATCCAATGTCACCTCCAAATCACAATGAAGGTCTGGAGTCACACTTTAGTAGATGACTTTATACCAGCCAAAATTTATTTTTAGAATTAAATTTAAGATTGGGGAAGTTAAAGTTGCTTTAAAAAGGATTGAAAATTGAGACAAAAAATTATGATTTTTTATTGATTTAGACCTTCATTGGTAAAATGAAAGCAATGACATATCTCTTACACTTTTTAGTTATATGATCCTGGGCAATATAAGATCATAATACCAGGTCCAGAAGGAATTTAAGTGGTCATCTCTTCCAACCCCCTCATTTTAAAATTGATGAATTCAGGCCCTGAGAGGTTAATTGACCTGCCTCAGTCAAATAACTTGTCAATAACTACATAACTTGTCAGAACTACATAAGACTGACCTAGCAATTAACACAAATTACAGAAAATCTTGTCATATGACAACCCCCTTTAAAAAACCAAAAAACAGAAAAAGAAATCCAAGACTAACATCCTTCAAGACTATGTATAATCCTAGGGACAGGAAGGGGAAGAGGAGAAAATTGACCTTTAATGAAATTAGAAGAATTTTCATTGTTCCCAATCCAAAAAACAGATTGGAGTAGAAACTTTCAAATGTTAAAAGCAAAAGAGAAACCAAGAAAGGTAAAGACAGTTGAGTGGGTAAATGGGTCTAAATAATGATGAAGCCCTTGCCTTCTAAGAGGAAGAGAAGGGATGACCCCCCCAAAGAATACTAATGTCTTCAAAGAACACAAAGGAGGTAATAAGATCTCATGGGAGCTGCAGCGGGCTTTCTTTGTTTTGATCATGCTATGATGGGAAAGAAGAAGGAGAGGAAAAGGAATACACCAGCGAAGAAAGGAGGAAGTGGGCAGAACTTACTTTTTCTCATCATCAGGCTGCAGAAAGAGAAGAATACTCAAACAGCAAAAGGGGAGAGCAGACATGCTCAATAACTTTATTTATTACTTTGGACAAGTCCTTTAAGATGTCTAAAATGACTGTCAGAGATTTGGCTTCAGTGGATTTTTGTTACAGATTGCCTTACACTTTTCACCTCTCTGGGTCTATGTTGCTTTATTTTTCAAATGGTGATAATTATACCTGCCCCATCTATCCCATGGTAATAAAACAATGCAGATGAAAGTAATTAGAAAAGGTACAAATGCTACATAACTACAAATTATCTCTAAGTTAAACTATGGTTATGTTTTATAATTGTGCTTATGAATCCTTCCCTAGCACATAGTACAGTCCTTGACACATAGTAAGCAATTAATAAATCCTTATTGATGGACAAGTAGGTCATTCAGAGCAATTTGTATTTATACAGGCTCTTTGGAAGTGACTTTTTCTTCATCTTTGCCTCTTGGAAGTTCTGGCTTCCTTCAGTGCTCAGCTGAAGAGCCCAAGTTCCTACATGAAGTCTCCTGATTTTCCCAGAAGCTAGTTCCCTATTGAGACTACTTTGCATATATTGTGTATTTATTTATGTAGGTATATGTTGTTTTCCCCAATAGAATGCAAACTCCTTTATGGTATAGACTTTCATTTTTTTCTTTGCATCTCCATATGTAGTCACAGTACCTGGCACATAGTAGGTTTTTGGGATTGAAATGTAAAAGGTGGATAATGTATAGTTCTTAAAAATTATTCTTCCCTGTAGAGGTTTATATATCTTACCGTAAATGCAACTCTAGAAGGTAGGTACTGAATAGGGTATATGCCTTATGCTTTAAATGAGCATGTAAGATAGTTAATTGTGGTGATGTATTGGATTTTAACTCAAAATTAAAGTTTTTTCCATTGTTGTTGTGGACCACGTCTTGAGAATAATTTGCTCATAACTAATTACAATTCATCTTATTTATAGGGTTGGCCTTTGCTATTCTCTCTTCTGTCCACCCGGTGTTTGGTTTATATGGCTCTCTGTTTCCAGCCATTATTTATGCCATCTTTGGAATGGGGCGCCATGTTGCAACAGGTAAGGATTTATATGTACTTACATTTTGTAGGTTAATAATGAAAAGGACTCAGTTATTTGAGAAATAAAAGTCAAATTTCTCAATTAGTTGTGACTTAAATACTAAGTACTTGTGTTAATTGTAAACAATCATCTCTGTAATGCGGTGGTTAGAGCACTGAACCTGAATTCAGGAAGACCTGAGCTGAAAACAACCTCAGTCACTTACTAGCTATTTAATCCTAAGTTAAGTCACTTAATCTTTCTTTGCCTCAGTTTCCTCCAACCTGGGGATGATAATAGTACCTATTTTCTATGGTTGTGAATTAAAAAATGAGATAATACTTGTAAAGAACTTTGCAAAACTCAGAGTGCTATGTAAATACTAGCTGAAAGTGTAATGCTATCTATTACCAATGTATATATTTATCCATCTATCCATTCATCCCTCTGAAGAGATATTATCAGGATAAAATGAGAAAGAGAATAAGAACTTTGAAAAATGAAAGCTTTATATAAATCCTAGCTACTATTAATGAATCCTTTCCTCTTTTAAGTAAGTATTGTGCCATGGAGAACTCCAGAAAAGACATTCTTTCCTAAAATAGCCAGATTATTATGGAAAAGCATTTTATTTTCCAATTATCCAGATAATTTTCCCATTGGTATGTGTGGATTACATCATTTCATCTTTCACAATTATGTTTCTGCAGAAGTTCTCTATAAATTTGCTTCATGCTGAAATTGAAATAAAATAACCTCACAAATATTTAGGGTGTACATTCCCCTAGCTGCTTTTGCCCTATAAAAGCCAAAGGTGATAAGAGCTTGAGATCATGGGATTTTCTTTTGTGTTAAACAAATGCAACAAAACTCTACTAATGAATAAGAAACTGAGTGTTCTCAGACTCTTAACCATTAAACATTTCACATTCCTTTCCCTTGTTGTCTATTAACATCTCCTCTTCACATTTTAACAGAAAGGAGGAAGAAAAGAGATCAGGTTTGATCCAAAGATTAACCCCAAAACATTTCCTCTGTTGAACTTTTGATAGAAAAGGCAGAATGAATCCACACAATAGACCATAATGGATTTGCTTTAGGAGGTCAAAAATTTATATTTTGATAAGGGCCTAAATACATATTTACATAGTTTGTTTCCTAAGACTATATGGCAGACTTTTGACTGGCTATATGATTTCAAAATAACATGTATATCTATAGTTAGCATAGTTAGCAAATACCTTTAAGCACTCCACAGATACCTTTTATTCTGCTAAGTATTATGCATTCCAAAATACATATCATTTACATACCAAAAAAACACTCATTCTACTACATTTTCTCAATCCTTAGCTGAAGGCATTTTATTTCATTATTTGTACTCCATCAAAGGACAAAGAGTCAGCTGGACCTTCTTATTTCTTGGCTTGGTCTGATGCAAACCTTTAAGGTTATTTGGAGTAAATTAGTCACATCAGTGGCTTTCTCCACATGGTACTATGTATTTATGTATATATCAGAGTAATTACACAAACTGATATGGCTTAATTATTTTTTGACCTACGCATGATCTTTATTTAGAGAAACAACCAGAGTCCTTGGGGTAAAGACTGTCAAACTTTTTGTTTAGAAAGCATTTTATTTCCATATAATATTTTATTTCAGCAACAACACTGCCTCTTCTGCCCCTCCACTTTCCTCTTAACAAATAAATACTGTTTTCATGAAAGAAGAGGTCACTATAACTGTCATTTTGCCTGCATTTTAAGGGCAGATATCTCATGTAATTCCCTAAGTGAGATTCTGCCCGATGGTGGTAAAGCTTTGACAAACAAATGATCTGTTTTATCCAAAAAACAACTCTTTAGCAAAAATACAGAAAGCATAATTTGCTCTAATTATCTTGCCCTAAGATGTGTGTTTTTGTTTTCTTTTCTGATTTTGATTTAAAATGACCTCATTTATGAGGAGGGAGAAATGGGTTAATTATTCTTCATGGCACACAGGAAATTTGATCCTGATTTCAGTGTCACATGAGAAATAGGGAAGGGAACTTGGGTTTAAGAAATTTAGGCATTATGGAGGTGAATTAGTTGTTGAAGAAGATGGAAACAAATGATGATTAATGTGCAGTATTCACTGAAGCTGGTAAGATTTGGGTCCATTTAAGATTTTGAGGAGGGGTAAAATAGGTGATGACTGAGGAATGCTAATGAGGGTTAGTCAGCTTGGTGCTCTTTGTGGTACAAAGGAAAGCTTGCAGGATTTGGAGTCAGAAGAACAGAGCTGAAATCCTGGATCTTTCCCTATATGATCAGCCAGGTCACAAATTCTCTACGGCTTAGTTTTCTGATCTATAAAAATGGAGTGGAGCAGGGTAGGAGTGGACTCCTTGGCCCCTCAGGTCCTTTCTAGTTCTATGTCTGTGATCTTAGTAACTTTTTATCCCTGTGTTCAACTATTGTTAAAAGAAAGAATAGGTACTAGACCTCTAGGAAATGCCTGAATGAGGAAACTCATCAATTACATCAGTTTATTCTCTGACCTGTTGTCTTAGGGAGCTCCCTAAAAGGTGAAGTAATGAGAGAGAAAACTAGTAGCCAACTCTTCCTGGCTCCAAGGCCAGCTTTCTATTCATTATACCATGTTGCCTTATAATATTAAACTATTCTTAATAGAATACAATAGGAATCTCTCTCTCTCTCCCTGGGTCTCTCTCTCTTTCTCTCCCACACATGCACACCTCTCTCCCTCTGCCTCTACCTTTCACTCTTCCCCACCCTCTCTCACTCTCCCTCCTTCCTTCTTTTTCTCTTGTTTCTCCCTCTCCCTACCTCTTTCCCATCTTCCTCTCTCTGTCCCCTTTCCTTCTCTCTCTCTCTCTCTCTCTCTCTCTCTTTCTCTCTTTCTCTTTCTCTCTCTCTCTCTCTCTCTCTCTCTCTCACACACACACACACACACACACACACACACACACACACACACGTATATGTCAACTGAACTGAACTGGTCTCTAACCTGTGGATGGTTGGAGCCAAACAGAGCAGGTTAGAGACGGGAGAATCAGGAATCAAACAGAAGTTTAACTTCAAAGTGAGGGAAATGACTTGCAAGCAAAGAGGGACATGTGTTGGAATCCCATCTCTAGTGGGGGGACCTCCTTTAATGTGGTTGAACCTTGATTTATATATTTGTGACTCGACAAAGAGTCATACGTGTAGTGTAGCAACAGTAATGAGGCACAACAGCCACAGTGAGGCAAGGTTGCCTAGTGAAAAAGTCTGTTCATAGGAGGGCTTCATGTCTGGTCCTGTTGGGGTTAGCCCAAGCTTAGGGACCATCAGTTCATCCAGAGGGTGAGCACAAAGGATTGTTGTTATGGCAAGCTCAGGGCACAGCTTGTTTGCTGGGCTTTAGCTCTGGAAAACAGGGTGTCTCCTAATTGACATTCCCTCCTTTTGGCCAAAGGGAGGGGGTGGTGAAAGAACTCCTACCCTTCTGGCCAATAAAAGGAGAGGCAGGTACAAGGCAAGATGCCATAAGAGGCTAGTTGGACTAAGAGAAGATGTTGAATTGAATAGGTTTTATCTAGCCATTGTTTGCTTGCAAGCAGAAAATGTGGGGCAGGGGGCAAGAATGTAGAGGGAGAAAAAGCCAACACATGCTTGAATCAGGAACTTGGTGGTTGGACACATAACAAAAGGGAAGAGGAAAATAACTAGGACAGTATACTCAGCCCTCATCTGGAATCTTCTGGATGTCGGCTCCTTCTGGTTCCGTGCTAGATGAACCTTAGAGTCCCTGGAGGGTTCTGCCATCCGCTCAGGAGCAGTGGCTTTCTTCAGATGATCCACGAGTACACATCCATAAGTTTGGCAGCTGTGGGAGTGGACAGAAGGACCTGATAGGAGCCCTTAAAAACAGTGATTGATTGGCAGTTTTCAGAGAAGACATATGAGTTGCTTGGGATGTACAATTGTGAGAAAACCCCTTGCATCAATCTTTGGGTCTGAGTTTCTTGTCAGCATAACATAAGTCCTTAGTTAAGAGTCTCTAAGCAACACATAGAAATGATCCAGTTTCCCAGCCAAACAGGGCTAGTTTCAAATAATGTGATAAAGTTTTTCTTACAGTTCTCATAATTGCATAATTACATTAAGTCAGGTACAGATCAAATTACTTAAAGGTCTCATGATGAACTAGTTCTGAGAAGGGAGATTTGCATGACACCAAGACAACCAAGAAAACTTAAACATAAACCAGGATGTCCAGGGCTGAGATCAGAAACCAGAATCTCAAAAGCTGAGATTAGAGTCACCAATGTTAATTAACATCATAATAACCCATTCTCAATGTCCATTAATCAGCATATTTTGAATCCCAGATGTCTCATGTACCTATCTCGTCCCTAGATATCTGTTCTTGGACAGTAGGTTTTCAGGACAGCTCCAAAAGAGCTCTGTTTTTCTAGTTCCAAACCTAGAGGTTCCTAGATAATTCTGACTTACTACAATTTAGTACCGTCATTTAAATTTGTTTCTCCAGTTTTGAAACTTCAGAGACTTTCAGGTCATATACCATTTGTTCTTTCTCTCCTTACCTAAATCGTGTACCTATTATAAGAATCTTTTTAAAAATTGATGAGGGTCCAACCATAAAATAAGCTCTTCTGCCTTTTAAAATGATCAGACAGATATTTTAATAATTAGAAAATGATTTTATTTTCTTTACCATTATCCATATAATTTATGTGTAAAATCATTATCTAATTTTGAGAACTTATTACTAAAACATACTCTAAGCCTGAATTTCCACAATAGATAAATTTGGAAGCCAATCATATACATATGTATATAATTCTTAGAGAAAACAGTCTAATTCTGTTGCTTTCTCAAACTTTACTATTCCATTTATTTAGAAAACTTTGCGTCTTTGTCTTATTACCTTGTCTAATCATTTCCCCTTTAGGAGGATATCATCACTATATTATAATTTGATCACAAATACAGATTAAAATGGTAAGATATTCATGCTTGGCATTCTATTATAATAGAATGAGATGAATCAGCATCAATCTATTATTTAATAAATTTGGTATTGTACTTAAAAAATTTCTTGATTATAGAAATTTGCTATAAAAGGAAAATAACAATGTCATATAGTGGGGGGGGACCAGGGGACCTCCCTTAGCTGTGTTTGATTCCAGGCATGAATCATATCTGACAACCAATCATGTAGTCACAAGGTATTAAAAGCAAGGCTCAGGATTAACCAGGTGGGAAATTTTCCTTTTCAGAAAAGAAACAACACAATGGGGAAATAGAATCATGAGGATCCTTCCTTGGGTCATGCCAAAGTCATCCCCAAAACTTTTCTGGGGCACAGACATCACCTTTAGCAGTTCCCAGACTGCAGGACATGCCATTTTCTACTGTTGGCTTCATGACAATTCAGACAACTATCCCTGTAACCAAAGCTCAAATTAAATTAAATTAAACTAATTAGTAAATTAAAGTCCCAGGAATTTTTTACTTAAATAGGAAAATTTCACTAACCACAATTTAGGGCTTGAATATCTTTCCTGATGTTTCCCTAACAGTTAACATTTCATTTATCCTTTACTTATAAATTAAAACTACCCATGTTCTGGGGCTTAAGACACACAGCAAATACCTGATAGTTGATTCATCATTAATACATTGAAGCTATATCTTTAAACCACCCTATACACTTTCATAATAGCCAACATTTTCAAATGAAAATTCACTATTATAGTAAACTTATTATCTGCTTTATAACAAAATACACCTCATTAAATAATAGTTTTCGAATATCTATTTTTTATCACATCCTTTTTAAAAAGCCCAATTCATGTGTACAGCATCCAGATTAAAAAGTTGTTTTGTCTAATAGCATTTCTGTTATAATGGTCTCTCAAATTTAACAATATAAGATGATTTAGAAATATAATAACAACATAAACAGTGTCATGTATATAAAAACATGAAACAAAACATCAGATGACATCAATTACACTTCCAAATTATTGCATATAAAAATCATTAATCTTATTTATTTCTTTTAGCATTTGGAAAACTACTTTATAGTTGTCAGGTATGGAACAATTACATTCAAGTAAAGAAATAATGTAGTACTTAGCATATGCCAATCACTGTGTTAAGCACTTTGCAATCATTATATTATTTTAATTTCACAACAACCTTGGGAGATGTGGGTATCATTATTTTTCTCTTTATAGATTAGGAAACTAGGGCAAACAAAGATAATATAACTTGCTTAAGATTACACAGCTAATAAATTTGTGCAACCAGAATGTTATTCAAGTTTCCCTACATGTTTCCTAACATTTTTCCAACACATTTATTTGGGCATCTGATCTGAGATGAAAGGGATTAACAGAATAAGAGGAAGAGGGTCTCTGATCTGGGGGAGTCAGGGAAGGGTTAATCTGATGTGCCTATAAGGTGCAAACCATTTATCTATTTTTTTCCTTTCTTCACTCTGGGATTATTTCCAAACTAAGCTGCCTTCCTTTATTGCCCTAGAATGATGAAACTATCACGCTTCAATCAAAATTCTGTCTACTTTTAACTTTTTATGAAATTCAATCCTTCTATTTTCTTAAAACAAGTTCTACAGAGTGATAGCCTAAAACTTGCTAAGATATTTCAGAAGGGAGTGAGTTCCTAGAATTACCCCAAAGTCTCAGGAGTTCTCCTCTGCAATCTTAAAATGATTAATCATTAAACTCATTAATCTGCTAAGATGCTTTAGTAGTTCTATAAACTTTGCTTCTGCAGAAAGCTTAAATTAGGAGTTAGTCTTGCTTACTGGGACAATTGCTTCAAGTATGAAAGTTCAGTAATCTTTCCCAGTGTTCCAAACTCTTTAGCCACAGACTTTATCAGTTTTTCTTGCTGGCTGTATTTTAAATCTTTCAAGGTAACATAATCTAGCTCACAACACAAACGCAACATAGACATTTTACATTTTACAAAGACACAAACACAGACAAAACTACAAGACAGATACAAATAGACACAGATAGTTTTAACAAAGTGCTAACTTTATCAGGAATCCTAACCTTACTGGTTTTTAACAGAGGCACATAGCTACAGAGGTATGCAGTTTAAAAATAACAGAAGCACACAGAGGGACCAGTTAACAGAGGTATGTAGTTTAAGGAAGGATATCATTACCAGAGTGATCTGAGACGAATCAGCTCATTGGAGGGGCTCTGGTGTTTTCCTCACAAAGAATAGCAGGCTTGACCAAGGTGGGAGCTCAGAATACTGGGGCAGGGACAAGGGTAGAGAAGTCACCAGACAAGGTGGGGGTCAGACTACAGAGAAATAAATCTCTGGTGGCACCTAGTCCATTCCCACTGGTATCAGAGACTCCAATGGTCTGGTTCTGTGTGTGATCCCAATTCTGACACCAATTAATGTCAACCAGACCAAATCAGCCTCTAACCTGTGAATGGCTGGAGCTGAACAGAGCAGAGATAGGGGAGTCAGGAGTCAAACAGAAGTTTAATTTCAAAGTAAGAGAAACAGCTTGCAAGTAAAGAGGGGATCTGGACACATGTGCTAAGACTTTACCTTTAGAGGGGGGACCCGCTTTAGTGTGGCTGAACCTGATTTATATATTTGTGGCTAGACAAAGAGTCAAACAGTGATAATGTAGCAGTAGTAGTGAGGCATAACAGCAACAGTGAGACAAGGTTGTCTAGTGACAAAAAGTCTGTTCATAGCAGGGATTCATGTCAGGTTCTGTTGGTACTTGGAACCATCAGTTCATCTAGAACAGGCTTGCACAAACAGCAGCTCGTGGGCTGCTTGTGGCATGCCAAAAGATTTCCTCTACATTCAAAGGATGTTTTCCTCTACATTTTTGGTGGGATGTCCAGAATTTTTTGGTGTGCCACAAGCAGCTCAAGGGCCATGAGTGGCTTATGGGCTTCAGGTTGTGCACGCCTGATCTAGAGGGTGAGCACAAAGGATTTCTGTTATGCCAAGCTCAGGTTGCTGGGTGGAAAATGGGGTGTCTCCTAATATCTTGACATAGCTTATGGTATTAAGGAGTCTCCCTGGGGCACTGAAAGCTTCAGAACCTTGTCTGTGGTCAGACAGTCAATATCTGCTAGAGATGAAAACCAAAGACACTATGATTCCAAGCCCAGCTCTTTCTCTCTGTTGTGCTCTTGGCATCTTGTAGATAAAGAATTGGAGACCCTGAGAGGTGAGAGGACAATTCCAGGACCACCTGTCTAATAAGTGACAGGGCTTAAATCTAGCTTAGGTCTTCTAACTCCCAGTCAAATTTTCCTTTTATTGCATCATGCTTCAGGGCTAGCCAATTCCACGAGTGTTATATTGTGAGGTATAGACTCAAAGCATACAAAAGTTAGAAAGAGAATAGGAAAGAAGAGTTTATTTGATGGAGATGAGTGAAGTGCCATTAAAAATGATAGTAGCTAGCATTTTATAGCCTTTTTGCAAAGAACTTTCCATGTATCATTTCATTTGGTCCTCACAAGAATATTGGGTGGAAGGTACTATTATTATTCCTATCTTATAAGTGAGGAAACTGAAGCATATTGAGATTAAATGACTTGTGCAGGGTCACACAGCTAGTAAGGGACTGAGGCAGGATTTGAACTCAGGTCTTCTTGACTTCAAATCCAGTCCTCTCTCCGTTGTGCCACATAACTGCTTCTCTAATGATTGTCTCAGAGTCCACTGATGCTGTAGATTGTCCATATGTACTTTGGAAACTATAACAGCTGGGGATTAGGTATAGAAACAAAAGAGTTATGAACAGATTTGTTCCCATGAGTTTTTTTTTCCTTTTTTTGGAATTCAATTCAATACAATTCAATTTAAAGAACATTTACTATACACTTCTAATGTGCTATACACTGGGTGATACGAAGACAAAAAAAGTCTCTCTCCTCAAGAAACCTATCTTCTGCTGAAGGGAATGCAGACGAAGTAAGTAAGAATATAAATAAAGTCAACACTGAGAAACTGTAAATCTCTGGTTGAATGCTAGGGTCAATTTTAGTATCATCCTGCCCAAGTTAAAGGTTATAATCCTCCTTTCAAATAATAATAGGCTAACAAGTACTTAGAGAGAGTACTGAGGTTTATTTGGGTGTTGATGGAGAAGTATCTTTTGTATCAAAACAAAATCTATCAATAACTTTTTTTTAAATAAAGAGTGGCTACACCTGATCAAACATCAAATGGGGCAATATAGGTAAAGTGCTTTGCAAATGCTATAGAAATATTTACCATCATTATTATGCAAAAGAAATCTGTGCTGGAGCTGGTACAATTTTGGATGTACAAGGGGACTAATTTTCAAGATAATTAAAAGAGGCAAAGGTTCTAAAATCAGGAATGCAGCTTAGGTCGTAGAGGCATTGTTTCCATGTAAGAGTCAAACAGTTTAATGAAACTAGAATGTAGATAAGGCAGACCTGTATTGTCCCCTCTAGCCCCACCAAAGACTCCATACTTTTCAAACAATGTACCTTCTGCTGTAGCCATCCTTTTCTACTAAGTCCTTGTTTATTGTTCAGCCCTGTCAAGACCTTTTTCTTTTTCTGAGACCTTTTTCTTTTTCCTTTTTTAAGAGCTTTAAACGCAAGGGTAGAGCAGCTTTCTATCAGTTCCACTTTGTTTTTCCATCATGGATTCAGCTTTAGTTGTATAAGTGAAGATGTTGCCATTAACTGATAATTAACAGATGAGTGATTTTTTTCTAGGGACCTTTGCTTTGACATCTTTAATATCTGCCAATGCTGTCGAGCGTCTAGTTCCTCAGACCAGCCAGAACTTCACTACATATAACAACTCAGGTGTTCTGGGCTTATCTGATTTTGAGATGCAAAGGATTGGAGTTGCTGCAGCCGTTTCATTCTTGGGAGGAATCATTCAAGTAGGTAGTTTTATTGTTATTAATAATTTATATTATTTATTAACTCCATACCAGACTTTATGGAGGGATATCAATAATATGGTAGTCCACCTTTGATGTTTTTGTTATTCAGTTGTTTCAGTCGTGTAGGACCCTTTGTGACCCCATTTGGGGTTTTCTTAGCACAGATACTGGAGTGGTTTACCTTTTCCTTCTCCAGTGGATCCAATGGATCCATTTTGTCAGGCAATCAGAGGTTAAGTGACTCATCCAAGGTCACACAGCTAGGAAGTATCTGAAGCCAGATTTGAACTCAGGTCTTATAGACTTCAGACCCAGTGCTTTTCTCTAAAACTAGTATTCTATATACCACATCATTTTGCCTCTTAAAGCAGACTATACCTTATCATGATCATATTCTATTCAAGAGGCAGCTGGGTGGCATGGTGGGTAGAGTGCGAGGCCTGAAGTCAGGAAGATCTGAGTTCAAGTCTGGCTTTAGACATTTAGTAGCCATGTGACCCTAGGGCAAGTCACTTAACCTCTGTTTGACTCAGTTTCCTCAATTGTAAAATGGGGATAATAATAGTGCCTACCTCCCAGGATTGTTGTGAGGATCAAATGAAATGATATTTGTAAAGTGCTTAGCACTTTATCCAATAAGAATATCTGTAAAGCATGGTACATTAAAATACTTAATAAATGCTTGTTTCCTTCCTCCTTCCTTCTTTGTGGCTCAGAGGGAATTCAGCCTAGGTAATGAACTGGGAGAGTACAAGTGGCTTCTATGTCTGGAGAAAGGAGAATCTTTGACCATGAGAGGCAGAATATTGTTAGTAATGAGAGGAAATGGGGTATAGATATGGTTCCAGAAGAATGGAAGAAAGAATATGTTAGGTGAGTATAAAGATAGTGAAAGGAGCATTTGAGACATGGTAATAGAGAAAGGTCTTAATGGGGCCAAACCTCAGTAGGAGGATGGAGATAGTACGGGGTAGGATGTTCAGTAGGAAGGCAACTCAGATTCTTTTGGTGGAAAAGAGAGATGGCTCTTCTGTCTTCTGATAACTTAACTTGTCATTAAATTTGATTTCTATAGAGGGAAGACTAGGTAAGCTACCTTTTTATCATTATTTCATGCTATACCCATTTATATACTTTATGTTTTAGCCAAACTGGGATATTAGGTATTAATCAAGTGGAATCAACAAGTATTTATTAAATACTTACTATGTACTGGGCACTGTGCTATGCTCTGAGGATACAAAGAAAGGCAAACAACAACCAGAATCATCCAAAAGGACAAAAAATAGCCCCTGTCCTCAAAGAGGTTGCCCAAGAAGTCTAATCACAGCTGTACTGGAATCTTGTCCTACCTTCCCCTTCCTACATGCATAATGAGCATTTTAGTTGTCCGTACAAGGCTGTTTGTCATTGGAAAAATGTTATTGTTGTTGTTTATCCTTCATTCTCAAAGAGGACCATGACATCATCAAAGTGATGCTGTGACTTGTAAATGAATTGGATTTAAGTGAGGGAGAGTTGTGCAAAGTCACCAGCCTCACTTTCTCCTCCAGAGCCATCTTGGTCTAGTGGCACGATATCGATCAGGATGACTAGAGATACCTTCCATTGGAAAAATTAAGAGAAAGAGAAAAACAGTCTCTGGCTTCAAAAGCGACTTCATTTTTTGCTTATGGAAATCTTTCGGGCTTCAAAGCCCAGTCAAGATGCTACTTCCTCTATGAAGCCTTCCATCATTTCTACTGCCACCATTTCCCTTCCTCCAGTTTATGGCTGCCTCTTCAAAAGTCTAATAGTACTTTGCTTGGATCTTATTAACACTTTACCTTATATCATATACATGTTGTATTCTCCCCAGTGAATTCAGGTAAACAAACATTTCTTAGAGAGACACTCTGGCATAGTGAATAGAGGCAGGCTTTGAAGTTAGAATCACAGGATCAGAGATTTAGAGTCCTATTGGGCATTGAATCTGATGTTATAGAGAGGAGACTTGAGGAAACAGATTAAGTAACTTGTCCTGGATCATACAGCTAGTGAGTCTGTGGTGGGATTTGATCTCAGGTCTTTGGGAATCCAAGCCTAGCTTTGTATTTATTATTCCATGCTATCTCTATAGGAAAACTCTGACTGACGCATTCTGATTGATATGACCCTGGGCAAGACACTTAACCTCTCAGTAGTGTTCTAGGCAATTATCTAAGACCAGAGGTTAGAGAGAAAGGCAAGGAACTGCCTTCTTAGAGATAGTTCCTCCTTGGGAGTTCTCTGTGCCCCTAAAATCATCCATCTAATTCCTCACCTAAATATTTCTAAAGCACCTCCTAGGGTCAAGACCACCATACTAGGGTGCTGGGAATCAAATGCAAAACAAACAAAAACCAAAAGGATACCTTCTTTCAATGATGTTACATTCAATTGGGAGTGTTCGATATGAACATAGGTAATTAAATATAGTAAATAACAGACAATTTGAGAAATGACAGAATGCTAACAATGGGGAGGTAACTTGAGAGTTTTTTCATGTTTTTTTCTTTAGTTTAAGAAAAAATGTATTAGTTGTTTGATGTAAATTCCTTGAGGGAAGGAACAGTGCTGTTTTTCATCTTTTTATTCCTGATATCTGTAATATGGCCTTGCATATAAGAAGGAGAGGAAGAACGGAACAAGCATTTATTAAGCTCCTACTATGTGTCAGGCACTGTGTTTAAGTACTTTACAAATATCTCATTTGATCCTCACAACAACCCTGTGAAGTAGGGGCTATTATGATTCTCATTTTATAGCTGAGAAAACCAAGGCAGATAGACGCTAAATGGCTCGCCCAGGGTCACCCAGTTAGTAAATATCTGAGGTCAAATTTGAACTCAGATCTTTCTGTTTTCAGGCCCAGATCTCTCTTCATTAGGCCAGCTAGGGTCCTTGATAAATGTTTCTTAAGTGGAATTGAATTGCGTGGGAAATCTTTATGTACAAGCAAATATAAACATTTGGTTTCAGAAAAAAACCAAACAAACCATAATCCTTTTGTTATGAAAACAGCACAGCACATGAGTGAGCATTGCTCTGGTATCAGATGAACTAGGTTTGTTGTAGACATATTGATTGCCTGAACAATCATTGCATTACTTCCTTCAATATCTTAACATGAGTAGTTCCTTCTAATCAGCTATGGGTGTGAAAACTAGATAAATGGGCTCTTCCTCCTCTCCTCCTCCTCCCTCAGATATATTCTGTATGGGAGATATTGGCATCCAGCTGAGTTTCAGATAGCCAAGACATTACTGAACAACATAAAATTATTTATAAGGTTTAAAAAGAATGTAAACTCTGAAGGAGAAAAATGGTTGAGGACCATTCAAAATGGAGATGGATGGGAGCAAAGGGATTCTTGCGAAGAAAGGAAAATTGTGATTCACACAGTAATTCCATTTGACTGTGAAATATGGATAAAGGGACTGATGAAATACAGATATTATAAACACTTAATAAATATTTGTTGGATTGAATTGAAAGATATTCTAAAATAAGATTAGAGAAACTCAAGACTGGACAGCACACTTGCAAAAAGATCAAGTGATGTCCTTGCTTAGGTGACCGACCAGACCAGAAGGCGTAACAGGTATTTTCCATGGCTGATGTATGTGCTTCCCCGAAACAATCATCCGTTGCCTGGGTAGCCTGTTAGCCTTCATCTTTTTTTCTTTTTCTTTTTTTTTCCAGCACAGATGATGTAAGAATATTCTGGGATTTATGTAGGCAGTCTTGGCAACTCTTTCCTCTTTACTTGGACAGTATGATATAATTTGAGTCCCTCCAAGAGATCTGGCATCTGCCTCCATCTGAGAATTAATTTGCCATGTGAATTTAGTGGGTCCGACATGGATAGGTTGTCTCAGATTTGGAACTGTTCTGCTTCACTTTCTGTTCAGTTCTAAAACCTTCCTGATTGATGCAGAGATAATATTACTCTTACCTCTAATAATTCCAGTAGTCCAGAATATTAAAGGATTATAATTAAGCTTTGATATTTTTCACTAAGATGATATAAAATAACAAGCCAGAAAGATGAATTTAAAAGGTACTGTCTCAATACAGTTGCCCCACTTGATGTGAATTGCCCAGCATTGCTTATCAAATACACATTGGATAAAGAAAAGATTACTTTTATTGGGGTGAAAAGAAAGGGGAAAAATAAATCCTCTCTATATATACTTTCTTTGAAATTATGTATGCCCCAAATGAAAATGATACTGAAAAACATCATACTTCAGATTAAATGCAATGACTACTCAGCTCCAGAAGAATGAAACATATTCCTGTACTCTCATTTGAGAGGTAGTGAACACCTAGTACAGAATTATGCATGTACTACCAAGTGTGATTGCTATGATAGTTGGTTTTGGTTAACTGTTTTTTGGTGTTATAAAGGAGGGTTTTAATTTGGTGGAGGAGAGGGTATTATTGGGAAATAATGATGGTGTTTAAAAAAAAAAAGCACCTTCATTTTTAAAAGAACAAAATTGCATATACCAAGATAGAGTTTACCTAAATATGTGTATACTTTTCAACCACATAAGGTTTATATTTTTAAAATGTTCCCCACCAACTGGACTGGGCAGAACACTAGAAAATATGCCGTGGGAAGAAATCCAGCACTGGCAGGGGGCGGGTTAGATGACCTAATACGTCTTTTCCATCTGTAATTTCTCTTTGAATTTGTAATTCTGCAAAGTCTGGACCTTTTCCCCTTTCTCTAAACCATACCAGGAGTTTCAAGATGTAGACCCTTATTCTGAAAGATCTCAGAGAAGGAAGACTTATTACCAGTAAAACTTATTAGTGACTTTCTTCTCAGCCAGTCTCATTCCCATGAATAAGGGAATCCACAGCTGGAAACAGTGTAGAATCATCAAGATTTAATGCTACTATCTATTACTTTACATAGACTTGGAATTAAAATACTAATGGTGAGAAGTAAAAAGGGGAATTTGGAA